AAGCTCTGTAGACATCTGAGGTTAATTTCTGAGGATACATTACTTGAAAGGATTTGCTTCATGGAGACTGCACAAAGTCTCAGGGATGTACTTGCTAAGTGGAATAAGCCAGTCAGAGAAAGACAAGTATCACATGATCTTACTCATACGTGGAATCTAATGAACAAAAGTGACTGATGAACAAAATAGATCCAGAAACATGGAAGCATGGAACAGACTGATGAATCTCAGAGGGAAGGTGGGGGTAGGTGGGTGGGTGGGGGGAAGAGATTAATTAAAGAATTTATATGCACATATACATAACCCATGGACACAGACAATAGCATGGTGAAGGCCAGAGGGGACAGGGCTAGAATGGAGGGTGGTCAATGGGGGGAAAAAAGGGGACATCTGTGATACTTTGAACAATAAAGATAAATTTTAAAAACAAAACTGTGCATTTACTATTATTATATATAGACAGAGAAATGACTGGATGGAGTTAACTTCTTTGCAGTGCTGGGAGTGTGGATAATTTCATTTTTTTCTTTGCAGGAGGCAGACAATCAATGACTCTCATCATTGATGTTTCTATCTCTCCTCCCGCCCTTCCTCTCTCTGAAATCAATAAAGATATATATTTTTAAAAAATAAATAAAATGACATTTTAAAACTCTGTAGGCATTGCTTCCCTCCCAGGGGTCTTCTTTTGATAGTTATAATGAACCCCGGGCTACTTCGTGGATGCCAGTGTGCTCAGCATTAAGCTCTGTAACTAAATGGATTCAAAAAGCAGGGTGAGAGTAACGGCTGCTCACCGCCATGCGGTGCTGCTTGCGAAGCAGCTTCACCCGGATCTGGTCCATGTGGGCGGCCACGTCCCTCTCGGGCTGATCGAGGTCTTCTGCGTATCTTTGCACCAGGGCTTCGGGAATCCCGCAGCGGCCGTGCTGCGAGGGGAAACAGAAATGTGTCAGATGTTGTGGCAAGGATCCCTCTTTCTCCAAGAACAGTGAACATAAAGCAGGTTAAGACATTTAGCTACTGGAACATAGCACCAAAAGTTTTCATTGGAAGTGAGTATGTATTCTCTATGGTCAGGATGTTTCAGAGGGAATACTTTTACATCTTTACATTTCAGGCAGTAATAAGCTCTATGAAAATGTTTTCAAACATAAAGCAGAATACTACCATCCTACATTGTGGGGGTGAATGCCCTCACCTCACTCTACCTGATCACTTTGCAAAATATTACTGAAGACTGTCTCCTGAACTGCAGGGGAAAAGTGCAAACTTCTGCTCTGCCGTGGTCTACTGCTGTGCCTCATCTATCAGGACGTATACCACAGGCCCCGGCCAGGTAGCTCAGTTGGTTAGAGCGTCGTCCTGATACACCAAGGTTGTGGGTTCAATCTCCAGTCAGGGCACATAGAAGAAGCAACCAATGAATTCATAAATAAGTGAAACAATAAATCAATGTTTCTCTCCACCCTCCCTTCCTCTCTCTCTAGAAAATCAATTAAAAAAAAGAAGAGAAAAAAAAGGCTTATAGTGCCCATATCACTAGGCCAGCATTTACTGCAGAGTCGAATTCTCACTACTTTCTTTTCAAAGGGGTTCATTCACTAGACATTAGGGAGAGGAGGATACTATTGTAAGGCATGATCACAACAATTTTATAACAAGGACTCCCAGGACTGCGTTATAACAGAGCTGGCATTTCCCTGAGCAAAGTCCAGTTACGTCTATTCTCGTTTGTCTTCAGTCATTGTGGAATTGGTAGATCAAATCTTGATTTTTCTCAAATGAGAAATGAGTTTTCATTATAGATCTCAATGTTTTGGGTAAAATGGGATTTTCACATAATCCTTTCCCCGTTACGCATACAAGATAATGGTACAATACAATTATTACATCCAAATAGGGTTCTATAATTCTCAAAGTATGTTCACATTTATTTGCTCCTAATAATATCTATAAGAGGTAGCTATATAGGTTATTATTAATTCCACTTTACATATAGGAAAATGAAATGAGGATTTGTTAATATCTAAAAACATACATGTTAAGACAGGAAAACTGGAATTCAGGCCTATCCTGTCACCTAAACCAAGCCTTTCAGGAACCAGTTCTAGTACTGATTTACAGTTTTAACTGCAATGTACAGCTGCCAAAAATTAAAAACAAATAGGCAAAAGAAAAAAGGAAAAGAAAATCCAAGGCTGTATTTGCATTTCATCTGGACACTGTGCCCCCATTCATGCCATCACCAAGCAGCAGAGGCACCTGCTGTCAGCCACCCTGTACTTTGTCAGAATGGCCCCCACCTCCAGGCTGGCCTCCTGGGTCAGCTGGTGTTCCTTTCACCGGGCTGCCTGACTTATAAAAGCAGAGGCCTGTGAAGTGCGGTCTAGGACTTTGATACCTTATCGGAATATGGCTCCTCAGTGAGATCAATGCCTTCAGCCCGTAACTTGTCTTCAGTGAGCATTTCCAGATCGACTCCCCGAGGGCAGGAGATCTTCCTGGTCAGAGGTCCACCCAGCCTCACCCCATGCTCCTGGAGGCTTGCACTCTCCCGCAGCTCTGAGAGCCAGGGTGGTGGCCTGGAGCTTGGTGGGCTGCCAGGCTCCTGCCTGGAGGGAGGCCCAGAAGCCAGAGGTGAGTGACAGTCACTAGGGCCACCGGAGCCACCCTTTTTCAGGGGCAGGCTCGGTGCGCTGGGACCAGGAGGACCGGGGTGGAGGCCATTGGCCAGGCGTTCTTTGCTCTTCTTAGCAGGAACAGGTGGAGGCTGCGTAGGATGTCTGGCTGGCGTTTGGGCCTCAGAGCCCCTCTGCTCACCTTCTTTGGTGCCTGGGGGCTGATATGTTCCTTCAAAATCGAGTCCTTTTCTGTGACCCTCAAGAGGAGTCCTTGTGAAACTGTGTCTAGGAGGTTGAGCATCATAGTTTTGGGGCAAACACAGAGGAGGTGACATGCCCTGGGAAGAGGCTGCGACTGAGCCACCCAGTTTCTTAGTAGTCGTTTTCTGAGGGTCAGAAAAGCTCTTGCTTTGGGTCAGTAGCAATGCATTGTCAGCGGCAGAATCTTGCTGGGGGCTGTGAACCTTGGTGACAGAGGAGGCTGTCTTTTGTGGCACTTCCGGTATCTGAGGGCAGGGCTCTGTTGCCGCGCTAGGCACATCCTTTTCATCATCAGGCTCCCCTTGAAGGTCATCCAGGGAATGGGATCGGGGCCACGTTTTCACAGGCTGGGGGCCCTCCAGGGTCTCACAGCTCCGGCAGATGGACACGGGGAGGCTTCTCCGGTTTTTATTCAAACCAGTCACACACGGCTGATCACAGCGCTTGAAGGTGTGAGGGGTCAGACCGCTGCCCAGCCTGCTCTCCTCCAGCTTCAGTGCGTCCACCGACTTCAGCAAAGGCAGGGTGGGGAAGTTGCCCAGCTGATTCCTGTTGAAAGACTTCAAGCTGGACTCGGTGGATGACTTGGCAGAGAGAAGGGCAGATTTCCGAGTCTTGCCTGTGAGACAAGGAAATGTGTTACAATCCCATCTTCAAAGGCAAATCAATCAAACTGATGTATAAAGGTGTGCTAACATAATTGAAATCTCCGACTCCTATATCCCATTGCTGAATTACATATACTAGGGGCAGAAAATCACCATTCATGACGTTGATTGATAATGGGATTACTGTGGTCTCATTTTTATTTTTAGGAAAAATTCTTAGTCTTACTAAATGTCTCATGGAGATCGAAATTAATGGAGTTATGTGCTAAGGAAATATGCTGTGTCAGGCAATAAAGCAAGTCTGGGCCTAAAGTCTGTTCCTAAGCTGCAATCAGTGTGGAAGGTTGATCGTCCACAGCCCATTCAGAAAACACACGGATGGGATTTCTGTCCAGTGAGCATAATTTCCTCAGGTCACAGTTGCAGAGGGGAGGTGGACTGAATTCTGGGGCAGGTTCTATAAATGTTGCGGCCCCATAAGGTTCACTACTACCTTTAAAATCACACCTTCCTCCAAGCCCTCCCCTCTTCGTGTTTTGTGTATAAAATAAATCAATCCTAGAAGCAGTTGGCCAACCTTGGGATAGATAAGTAAACAAGCTTAAGTGAGTATGTTGCTTGAGACAATCTATAAAATACTGACATGGTTCTAATTCCCTACAAAATAGCCCTGATTAAAATAAACTGTCAGACTAATAACTGAACCATCAACCAGACATAACCTATTCTTCTGACAAGTGTTGACTGATATTAACCAATACTACTACTTGATACGACTCACTGAGAATTTACTAGCTATGGGTCAGGCACTGTGCTAAATGCTTAGTTTTTTTCCATCAATCTCTCGCTCTGTTACATTTTTTATTAATACCATATTTGTTGTGTGCTTTGATCCTGGGCTGAGGGGAAGACCCCAGATGATAAAACATAGTCCAAGAGATCCTAGTACTTTAGGCCCACCAAAAAAAAGAAAATAAAAATATTAAACCCACATTAGACCTGGAAGATACAAAGAAATGGCTGGCTCTCATCTCTGAAAAGCCACTATCTTGTAACTAAAGGTTTTCAGGGAACCCTTTACTACTGTTTTTAATCTTGCTGTAAGTGGGAGCTTGGGGGGCACAACAGGAAACCACAAAGCTACCCACGGAAGTACTGAGTTCACCTGAGCTCATTCCACTTAAGACTTCTATCGGAGACAAGTAATCTTCCTGAAATTTCTTATCAACTGCTTCCTGAATGTTAGGACAGGGAAACAACAAACAAGCCATGCAACCCTCAAATTGCCCTCTCCCCCAGTAACTGCTATGGACTCAGGCACAGCGGAGACACTGAAGGTGCCACTGCACTGTAACCCTGATGGATGGGCCACGTGGTAAATTGTTTCCCTCATGGACCTAATAGTTCCCAACACTCAATGTTGGTTTTTATTGTGTAAAGAAAAGGACATCGGAGACACACAATTTAGGTTTTACAGCTGCAAATACCTTAGACGGAATTTATTCACCTCACACAGCAGTCAGGAGGAACGGGTACTGGAGGCTAACTATTAACTATAGACAAGGAAGGTGGAGAGGTCAGAAAGGGAAAGATCAGCACCGAGTTCATGATGGTAACAGCATCATTCTTTTCCAGAAAATTGGAAATCAGTACTTTTCAAAGAAGGAGTATCTTTTTAAATGAAGCTTCATTTATAAAATAGATCAAAGCTGCCAGGGCAGCTCCAGGCAAAGCCCAGGCATGACTGAGCCCCTCTGTGGCCACCATCTCTCACATCACCCATGGTCCCCTGCCCCCACCCATGGTCCCCAAGGAATGCAGAACCCCATCATGAGTCACACTTAAAAACCAGGGCTCTGGGTGCATGTGCTCCCAAGCCAGAAGTTATTGCACAAGAAGCCCTGGCTCCTTTAAACACACTGTGTGTTTATTTCTCTCTTCACTGAAAATACTTTCCTAGTGAGAGCCAGAATAGAACTGTGCAGCCTGGTTTAATATTTGAATAAACAAAGGTGGGGAAGGTACCATGTTCTTAACTGTGAAGTGGACAAAGACAAAAATATGGGGGGGG